CGGTTTAGCTAAACAAGGGGCAGAAAGGGACTCATTTTTTTGGGCCAAGCTGTAACTGTAGTGTGTTTTCTTTCTTTCTTTCTTTTCTTTTTCTTTTTTTTTTCCTTTTCTTGAGGTTCTTTGTTGCTCTTGGAAGATAAGCGTGTTTGTCTTCTTTTTGTAAATCTTCTATTGATGAATTAATGAAAGTGTTATTGATAAAAAAAAATAAAAAAAAAATAAATTTTAGCATATTAACACTAATCTAAGCAGAAATTAAGCCTCTCAATCTATTAAATGCTATTAATAGATACAATCTGCATGTTGCCTGTTTTTATCTTGTAACCAAAAGGGAAAAAGCAAAACAGTAATTTAAGCATGGTATGATCAATTCTCATATTTCCTTTAACTGTTTATTTGGATTTCATGATTTTTCAATTATATTTGTACTGAACAAACTTTTAATTTATCTTTTATTTATATTATTGATACCACCTTTGCACTGTTTGGATGCTTTAGGTTCATATCCTTTTACTTTTTGTTTAATTTGTACCAAGTCCGGCATGACATTTTAGATTTTTAGGTAGATGTAAGAGTACTGGAAATTGTGCTTGAAATAAATCCATGTTGTATCAATGCCTCAGGCACATGGTGGGAACAGGGAGAGTAGTGGACTGGGTGATTTGTTTGATTCACATGTTGAGCACTTAACCAGCATCCACTTTGATTTCCTTAGGCAATGGGAACGGTTAATTGACTTGGAAGCTAAAGTGACACAGGTAAAATTTTGCAAATTTCAGTCACAATAATTCACAGTGAAGTGCCACATATTTGATTTTTAATTCATCGAAATCCTTTTTTTTCCTCTATTTCAGGTTGCAAAGAACAAAATCTGGCAGTCACATAGCCTAAAGAGTGAAAATTCTGCCAATGGCCTTTCTTCAGTTATCCTTGATGCTTCAAATAAACTCTCCCAAAATGAGTATCCTAAGGATGGCCGGTACATTTATCGTTTTGTTCGTCAAGATTTGCCTCATCATAATATAGAAACACATGATGTAGACACAAATGAAGCTGGCTCTTCTCCAATGAGCAATCTGGATTGCACACTTAGAAGTGGGGATTATGTGGTATAGCCATATAGATTATATGCTCATGTTTTAACGTTAAAGTAAAATTGCATGTGTATATTGCYTATGAATTCCATATTGGTGTGACTGTGATGCACCTACATGAGAAAAAAAACTGAGTCGAACTTTGTTATGAAAATTTTGGTGCACTCAAGTGTTCTTTAAAATCCATAATATCACTGGCATGTAAATGATTACTCGTGTCTTTAACATGCTTAATTCTTAGTTGTATACAAATTTGAGTGTTCATGCATGATACTCACATGCCTATAGTCGAAAAAGAAGCTTCCTTTGGTAGGTTCTATTTCTTAATATTGTTTTCCCCCTTTTGTGTCTAGGTTCTCAGCACAGAGTCTGGGCATGTAGCCATTGCAAATGGAGTCATAACAGATATTAGTCGTGTCCATGTTTCTGTAAGAATCTTCTTATCCATTCTTTCTTTCTTTTCTTTCTTTTCCTTTTGTTTTTGTTTCTATTGTGCTGCCTTTGTTGTCATACCTACTTTTTTTGATAAGCTTGACAACTAGCTTACCAGTGGTTCACTTCATAAGAATGCTCTGAGCAAGGAATTCCTCTTAATTTCATGAGATCATCTCTCAACTAGCTTAACAGTTCCTTGATTCTTTCTTTTTTGTTTTTGTCCCTGAACAAATGCTAGGTTTCCTTTTCCAGACGCTTAAGGCTTCCAGGGAGCAATCGTGCTTCAGATATAGGTGATCTCCTTCAGACGGTTTGGCGTATTGATAAGGATGAAGTTATTACCTCCTATGCAATAATGAGGTAGTTAACTCTACCCCCCCCCCCCAATTATCTACATACTAAAACACAGCATCCTTTTTTTTCACATGTAGATTCAACCTCATACAACTGTTTTCCCAAAGTGCACAAGGTTCTCACCTAAGGAAGATGATTGTTGATCTTGAGGTGAATATATTGCCACATCTAGATTCTAGATTTCTAGAGTTCTGGGTAGTTGCTACACCTGTATTTCTGAAGTTTAGCATGTGGGGATGATAAGCACTGCTTAATAGTTTTTTAGCTTATCCCTTTCAGGCACCCAGGTTTGATAGTGGAGGTATATTCAGTCAGGATCCTGCAATATCTTATGTACGGTCGGAGAAAAGTTTAAACAATGATCAGCGAAGAGCCATCCAAAAGGTTAACTGTCACTCCACCTGGCATTGGAAAAAAGGAAAAGAGCTAACCAGGTTTTTTTGTGCCACTTACCATATACTTTTATACCTGCAGATACTTACAGCAAAGGATTATGCTCTTATTCTTGGAATGCCTGGAACAGGCAAGACATCCACTATGGTGCATGCTGTGAAGGCATTGCTAATGAGAGGTGCATCTATTTTGCTGACGTCATATACAAACTCAGCTGTTGATAATTTGCTTATCAAATTGAAAGCTCAGGTTATCTCTATTCCATTTGCATCTTGCAACAACTTTAGCATGTTAGGGGATCTTCAGCAATCATATTAGTAGTACATTTCAGAAAATAGCAAAAGAAATCAAATTACTCTTACAAAAATGGATTCAATTTTTGTTAACTTCAAAGAATTCAGGTGGTCATTAATCAGCATTAAACAAACAAGGATATGCTGATCAATGCAAAATTGGAGGTTGATCTATGCATGTTATTCTCCATCAATTACCTTCATTTGAAAATGATAAGTCCATAATACGGAGATTTGAGATATTGTTGGAATGCCATATCCATGGAAGCATGGTGAATACCTTAAAATATAGGTTGAGCCATAGTTGTCAAGGCGTAGGCAATTCTAGGACTATGGGGTGCCTAGTCGCCTAGGTAATAAGAATTTTCTAAAACACAAAAGTAAATTGCCCCACACTTGATTGGTTCATCTCCAACTAGCTATCATCCTTGGAGATGAACAACTCGAACTGTACACTACAACAGCTTGTTATAGTAGGACCTACCATAGAATATCACCCTAACCACCTTCCTGGACTTGGAGTACGAAAATACTCTAGAAATTTCTCTTACAAAACGGAACAACTCATAATGAATAGTCGAGACCACAAATCGTGAAGAAAAATCAATCATAAAAATTCAAATAAAAGCCTTTCTTATTGTTTGCCAATGCAAAAGGAACATTGGGGCTGATATGTTATACTTGTTAAATTACTGTAATTCCTTAATGGATTAGCAAAAAAATTGTAAGCACTTTAATTCTCTTAAAACAATAAAGTTCTACAAAATTATTTTTGAGTACAAAGGATCTAATAGATATTGACGTTTCAATTCTAAATRATGAATGGGCCCAAAGGAAAGCAACACAAGAATACTAATTAGGTAGAGCACAACTAGTCTAGATGGTCATTACTTGAAACAACTAATTGGCATGGTATTAGAGGTGCAACTTGGATTGGGTTGTATTGGGTTGAGATCAACCAAAGCCCAATCCAAGGCAAGGGTACCTCAAACCTAACCCCTTCTAGTGATCCTCAACTCAATGAGCCAACCCAAGCTCTATTTGACCTTAGACTGTGTAACCCTCACCCAAGTGCATGCTATGTAACCTGAGTGTCAAAACCTGGTTGGTTGGGTGAAGTTAGCCTTATAAGTGCATGGCATGTCCAAATTTCATTTTTATTTTTGTAAAATGATTTTTTAAGGTCTAATTAAAACTAAACTTACATAAGATCATACTATTTACTTTGTAGAGAACACTGATGTGGTCCCCACTATGTTCGTATGGCACAATTGTTTTAGTTAGTTATGGCAATGTATTAGTTGGTAGTTATTTCAATTTTTTATTATTAGTTTTCTTTATTCTTTTTGCCATGTAAGCAATAAGGGCAATTCGGCCCTTTTATTCTTCTCATTTTCAAATTACTATTTGTTTCTTTTTAAACCAAGATAGATTGTAGTCTTGATCGACTACTTGGTATCAGAGTCGACCTAGGAGTTCTTATGCTAGTCTAATTAGGCCGACTACATGAGAACTTCCTAGGTTTGGAAGCTTTTCAATAGAGAAGGTGGATCGGCTGATTCTTGGAGGTTACTGGCAGTAAGCGGCTGTTACTAAGGAAATTGTAGAAGCTTGGGAGAGTTTCAATGATTAGGAAGAATCAGAAGAAGCTTCAGACCCTCAAGATTAGGGTTTTGCATCAGCTAGAAGGTGGCAGCCAGGAATTTTTCATAAAGTAAGCCTTTTTCCTTGAGATCGACTTTAGAAAAGATCATCTTGGTTTATTTTGAGAGGTGCGGCTGGAAAATCTTTGCCTTTTTCAATTGTGTTTTTAGGGTTTTGAGAGAAAGCCCTAAAATTCAGAACTGTTGTTGGTTTCAGATCAGAATTTGAATTTGTTTCATTCAGAACTATGTTTTTTTGTTCTCTGGAAGACCTAGGTCGGCTGTTATCAGTTGTTTGGGTGTTGTTTCTCTTATTACAGTAGYTAACAAAGGGTTTTTTATTAATTCTTGATCAAGAATGGAGTTTAAGAATCAAGGGGAAGGTGTTTTTGGGGCTAGTAGTTCAGGTAACATGTTTGAAAATACCATTCAGATTACAACCGTAAAGTTTGATGGATCAAACTACTTAGAATGGGCTCAATCGGCCATGATGGCCATTGGGGGTAGAGAAAACTTGAACTACTTGTTGGGAGATGTGAAGGAACCACCTAAGGAAGATCAAACTTATACCAAATGGGTTCAGGAGAACTATTTGGTTATGACATGGTTGTGCAACTCTATGCAGCCACATATCAGCAGAAACTATTTGTGGGCAAAAACAGTTAAGGAAATCTAGTATGTCATGAAAGAGACCTATTCCCAACCCCTTAATGTTGCCAAGGCCTATGAGCTGAAATGTGAGGTTAACAACCTTAAGCAAGGAGAGAAACCAGTCTCGGTTTACTTCTCTACTTTGAAATCTTTGTGGCATGAAATTGACTACTTAGAAACACTTAAGTGGGAAAGTCGGAAGGATTCACAGACTCATAGAAAGTAGGTTAAAACTAATAGGGTTTTTGAGTTCCTAACTGGTCTAAATCCTAAATATGATATTGTGAGACAACAACTACTGACAAGAGACAGTGTGACCTTATCACAAGCCTACTCAATGCATACTGAAGGGACTAGGAGAAAGGTTATGATGCAATATCAGCCCTTCCAATCAGCCTTGGTAGCAGTTAAACCTAAGTTCGGGGGTGATACGGAGAGGGATATAAAGAAGGAAGACAAGTGGGATCTGGTATGTGCATTGCGAGAAAACTAAGCAGACACTTCTTGGAAGCTGCATCATCATCTAGTTCTAGCAAAATTCGGGAACAAAAGGGGTAATGCTAATAGGGCTGTGAATATTGATTGTGCAACCTCATCGGGCATAAAAGCCACAYCTCTAGACACCCTAACTATTGTCTGGGCTGCCCTGACTCAGTTGGAAAAGGAAGTTGGCAATTCAGCTCAATCATCTCAGCCGCCATCAGCTTTTGCTCATTCAGGTACTCGGGCCTTAGCTTATCATGCTTCAGCTCCAGGTAACATTGAACATTGTTGGGTAATAGACTCATGTGCATTTGACCATATGACTGGCTTGCCATCATTGTTTATTACCTATCACTTATCATTTGGCAGAGATAAAGTGTCAATTGCTAATGGTTCCCTTGTTCCCATTTCTAGCAAGGGAGACATCAAGTTGTCTAATACCATTTCCTTATCTTCAGTTTTGCATGTTCTTAAACTTAGTACTAACTTGCTTTCAGTCAGTAGCATTACAAAACACCAGAATTGTTCAGTAACCTTTTTTCTTGATCGATGTGTTTTTCAGGACTTGGAGACAAGAAAGGTGATTGGGACTGGTTGTGAGACGAATGAGATTTATCTGCTTTGAGAGAGTTCTCATTGGGAAGATAGTGAAGATAGGAAGTCTTTTGTTTCTCAGTCTGTTAGTCAGGTTATGCTTTGGCATAATCAGTTGGGTCATTTATCTTTTCGGTCTTTGAAGAGTTTGTTTCCTAATTTATTTGAGTCTGTTCAGATGCCCAGTTTGAGATGTGAGAGTTGTGAGTTTGCAAAGCATTGTAGAGCATCTTAATCATTGAGTAATAAAAGAAGTAGTAATCCTTTTGATATTGTGCATATCGATGTTTGGGGACCTTATCATATCACTGCTATGGGGGGATACAAATATTTCTTGTTGTTTGTTGATGACTACACCCGTTTTTCTTGGGTTTACCTTATGTGTTCTTGAGATGAGGTTCCTGCTTTGACCTAGATCTTTCATCAAATGATTTTAACCCAATTTGGGGTCAAAATCAAAATCTTCAGATTSAATAATGYAAAGGAATACTTTCCCAACCCATTAGCCTCTTATTTGCTTAATCATGGGATCATCCACTAGAGTACTTGCCCTCATACACCACAGCAGAATGGGGTTGTTGAAAGAAAGAATAGGCACATATTGGTGGTGGCTAGAAGCATCATATTAACTCCAATGTGCCTTTTCGTTTCTGGGGAGATGCTATTCTTACAGTAGTGTATCTCATCAATCGAGTTCCTTTACGGATCTTTGATATGAAACCTCCATTTACCCTTCTATGTTCTGATAGGGAATTGTTTACTGTTCCCCTTAAAACCTTTGGTTGTATTTGCTTTGTTTAGATTCTTGGTCCTCATCGTTCTAAATTTGATCCTAAGGCCTCCAAATGTATTTTTCTCGGTTATGCACAAGCTCAAAAAGGATATTGTTGCTATGAACCTACTTCTGAGAGGAGATTTGTCTCTATTGGATGCTACCTTCTTTGAGGATGTACCCTATTATCCTAGGGTTTCTCCTCAGGGGGAGAGTAGTGAGTGTGGGGTTAACTCATCAGAAGTTCCTTTACTTATTCCATTGAGTGATGGGGGATGTAATGGGGAGGGTTGTTAGAGGTGCCGGGATTTGAGAGTTTATCACAGGTAGTGGAGGCAAGTTGATTTCGGTCATCAACAGTCCAGGCCAGCCCTAGTTCCTTCTGTGGATCCAGATCCAGGTAAGAGAGTCCCTTTATCAAATCCAGATTCCACTGAGATACATTTCACCATTGAGCTCTTACCTCCATTGGATGACCTTGACCTCCCCATTGCAATCCCTAAAGACAAACGGCGTTGCACCACATTCACAGCTCACTGCATTTCCTAGTTCTTGTCCTATGATCACTTGTCTTCTTCTTACAGGTCCTTTCTTGCATCCATTACCGATATTCCTATCCACAGAATAGTGTGGGAAGCCTTGTCAGTTCTTGAGTGGAAAGATGCAGTGAAGGTTGAAATGGATGCTTTTCTGAGAAATAATACTTGGGAGCTAGTTGATCAGCCTAAAGGGAAGAAACCAATTGAATGTAGATGGGTGTTTACTATGAAACATAATGCTGATGGTTCCATTGAAAGGTATAAGGCCCGATTAGTTGCAAAGGGATTTACTCAAACTTATGGTATAGACTACTTGGAGACTTTTGCTCCAGTAGCAAAGATGACCACTATTAGAGTTTTATTATCCTTTGCAACTAGTTATTCTTGGCCCTTATTCCAAATGGATGTTAAAAATGTCTTTCTCAATGGAGACTTGCAGGAAGAAGTCTACATGCAATTGCCTCTTGGATTTTATGATGAAGAAACAGGAAAGAATGTTTGCCGGTTGAATAAAGCCTTGTATGGGCCGAAACAGTCCCCCAGAGCTTGGTTTGATAGATTTAGATAAGCCCTTGGAAAATTTGGTTATGTGCAGGCCCAGTCAGACCATACATTGTTCATTAAGAGAGTGGATTATTCTTTGACCTTGCTTGTTGTATATGCGGATGATATTGTAGTGATAGGGAATGATAACAGTGAGATTGAGTCTCTTAAACAACTCCATCAAGAGTTTGAGGTAAAAGATCTGGGAGAGTTGGGTCTAAACATAGGATTTTTGTTTCTCAAAGAAAGTATGTTCTTGACCTATTGGAAGAAATCGGAAAATTAGGTGTTAAGCCTGCAGACACACCTATTGAACAGAATCACAAGATCAATGCAGAGGGTGGAGGGCCTCTTGACGGTAAAGCTATGCTCCAACGTTTGGTTGGAAAACTCCTCTATCTTTGTCTCACACGACTAGGCATCATAGTCAGTATATGCACTCTCCTAGAACCATTCACTTGCAGTTGAGAGGATATTAGCATATTTGAAGAGGTGCCCAGGTAGAGGTATACTATTCAAGAATAATGATCACATGAAGATAGAGGTTTACACAGATGCTGATTGGGCTGGGAGTGTTGATGATATAAGGTCTACCTCTGGATATTGTGCTTTTGTAGAGGAGGTAACTTTATCTCTTGGAGGAATAAGAAACAAAGTGTTGTTTCTCGTTCCAGTGCTGAAGCTGAATATAGGTCCATGGCAAATGGTGTGGCTCAAATCCTATGGTTGAAATCACTATTTGAGGAGTTGGGTGTTGCTTATGAGAAGCCCTTAATGCTGTACTATGATAATCAGGCTGCTATTAATATAGCCCATAATCCGTTATAGCATGACAAAACTAAGCATATTGAAGTAGACCGACATTTTAGAGAAAGGATTTCATCTCAAGAAGTGTGTCTTTCGTATATCACCTCCAGCATGTAGCTCGCAGATCTTCTCACCAAAGCTGTTCCAAGGAAGAAGTTAGAGGCAGACCTATGCAAGTCGGGAATGACAAATATCTATTCCCAACTTGAGGGGGAGTGCAGAGAACACTGATGTGGTCCCCACTGTGTTCGTATGGCACAATTATTTTAGTTAGTTATGATAGTGTATTAGTTGGTAGTTATTTCAGTTTTTTATCATTAGTTTTCTTTTATTCTTTTTGCTATGTAAGCAATATGGGCAATTCAGCCCTTTTACAGTTGGTTAAGCATATATATAAATCATAAGAGTGGATCGGCAGATTTTATGACCCTCTCTCTCTCTCTCCTTCTCTGAATTTCTCTTCGTGTACTTCTCTTCTTCTCTTCTTCTCTTCTTCTCCTCTTCAAATTACTATTTGTTTCTTTTTAAACCAAGACAGATTGTAGTCTTGATCGACTACTTACTTCAAGCAAAAATTTTGTTCCATTAATTTCACTCTAAAATTTCAATTATAATTACTCTTTTTGTAGACTAATCATGACTTCATGAGAGCTCCAATCTCCCTTTACAAACTCCAATTCCAACTAGGAAGCTGATCCAGAACAAATTCTGCCAACTTCAAAACTAAGGCAACCCAATGGTTAATGTATAGGGAGTAGAGACATTTAAATAAGGACTCTAACTCCTAAAATAACTCTAAATGCCTGTTAATAGTCTTATCAAAACTGTATGTGGAGAACCACTAATTAATAAATAGTAAATCACAATTTTACTATCAATAATAATTACAGGAATTTACATTATCAAAGTTTTGACTGACTAATCAGTTGAGGGCCAGATTGGTTGCATCACTAACTAGTTGGTTGATACCCATGATGCAGTTGCCTAGGATGACTAAGGTAGTGTTTTCAACTCATTGTTGACCTAGCTTGTTGAATCAAACATGGTTGGTTCATGTTTCTATATGCTATTCTCTTGTTTTGTCATCATGTCATTTTTTGTTATTGTAATTTATTGAAACATTGAGCATTATAGGGCATTGATTTTGTACGACTTGGAAGATATGAAGCTGTGCACGAGGAAGTTCGGGGACATTGCCTTTCAGGTTTGATCATGCTGCAGTATCAACTTTAGTTCCTTCCTTTGATGAATAGCTTTTCCATCAATTGAGGCTTTATAGAGTCTGAGCCCTAGCCCTGAACATAAGTATCTGTTACATCACAAACTCATTACAATGTTCTGTTTACTCCTTGTTTAGACAATGCATTGGTCATGCCATTGTATGACCTACTAACCTTTTTTTATTCTGCAGTTATTCCACTACTTGGCTCTTATATTGCCTTTATTGTGTTCTGGTGTTGCTATATGACCTGATTCTTCTTGCATAGCTAATCCACAACCACTTTGAAAGTTTGAATCACCCTCCACTGCTATGTTGTTCAGATTCAACCCCCATGCTGTCATTAAACCTTGCAACACAGTTTTTAATTCTGCTTTTATTGAATCCTTGTGGCCAATTACTTGACTATAGAGCTAGAATTGTTCCATTGCAGTCCCTATGCCTTCTGGCGTTGAATAACCCATGCTACTGCATTAAAGCTCAATTTAATTGCAGTAGTTCCCATTGTAATCAGATATGAGTCCTTTGCACTGATAAGCTTGCTATCCAATTCAACCTTCTTAGTAAATCCACCAGGAAATTCTCAAATGCCTTTCGTGTACCAGCTTTTGTTTCTTTGTGATATTCCTTCTTAATGCAGTCATATTTAACCTTTTCTATTGCAGCAATGGACATACACACTGTGGATGACATTAAACTAAGATTGGACCAAGTCAATGTTGTAGCAGTGACTTGTTTGGGGATAACCCATCCTGTGCTTGCTAACAAGAGTTTTGACGTATGCATAATGGATGAAGCTGGACAGACTACCCTGCCTGTATGTATTTTCTTTCTTAATGTGTCTTTTATTATCTATAAATGCCATTTTGCTATTAGAGTTTACAAGTTATATTATTATTTATTAAAAACAAGAATGATATAGTTTTGCTTTTATCTGTTATCAATGGGAATCATATATACTAAAACAATAAAAAATCTCTCTCTCTCTCTCTCTCTCTGTGTATATATATATATATTGAGAAAAGGTAAGGTAATTTTATTAAGACAAGTAATAGTATAAAGGGCCCCCCCCCCAAGGAGAATTCCTTGGCGGAAACCGCCAAAACAAAGCAAGATTACAAATACCAAAAGTTCCTTGAATTCAGTCTAGCCTCCGAACTGAGAGGCCTGAATCCCTTTTTCTGTCGAAACCCAAGAGATCAGTTTTCCAAATGAAATTGATATAAGATCCTCCTGATTTCTGGCAATACTATGAAAAAGCCTTTTGTTCCTTTCTGCCCAAATGGTACTAATTACAGCAGCTGGAATGGACATCCATACAGCAGCAGCAAGCTTTGATAGCCTTTGTAACCCCCAGCTCCATAACATCTCCTTTACTGAACCAGGCATAACCCAAGCAAGACCGAGAGCAGAAAGATAATGGTTCCAGATACAGGGCAGTGAAGAAATAGGTGACTGTTATCCTCCACGTCTTGACCACACAATACACATCTCTGATCCTGGGGTTGAAATCCTCTTTTAGAAAGATGACCTTTGGTTAAACATCTGTCTAAAGCTGCAGCCCACACCAGGGCATTGACTTTTGAGGGAGAGATCGGGTTCCAGATTTTGGAAGCATGCATGTCTTCCAAATTACTTGCCGACAGATGAAGAGCAAAGGACTTGATTAAGAATTGGCCATCTGTACTCCAAATCCAATACCGACTATCTTCTTTGGACAGGTCAAGAGGCTGGTGGGAGATAAACTCAAGTAACTTGGCTAATTTTGTAATTTCCCAATCCTGAATGTTCCTTCTAAATCAAGGACACCAAACAACAGAGTTGCCAAATACCTCAAAACAGTATGTTACCACTGCATCGCGAAGATCAGTAATTAAAATAACTGTGGGAATAAATCTGATAGGGAGGTAACTCCACACCAAGGATCTTTCCAGAAAGCCAACCTGTCGCCCTTCCCCAGCCTTGGATTTAAATCTCTGATGGAATTTGGAAGAATATCCATTATTTTCCTCCACAAAGAGCAGCCTAAGGAGGGGAGAGAAGAAGTGGTTATCCAATCTCCTCTATCTATATTATATTTAGCTGCAACTTTGGTTCTCCACCAATTACTTCTTTCCATTCCAAATCTCCAGATCCATTTTCTTAGCTGTGCCTTATTGAAAATCCTCAACCGACTGATACCCAAGCTTCCTTTTTCTTTCGGGGAGCACACCTGATCCCAGTTCACCAAGTGAATTTTCTTCTAATCTTCCTCCCACCCCTCCACAGAAACTCCCTCTGCAGTCTCTCGATTCTTTGAGCCACTTTCCCTGGAATTGGAAATAAAGAAAGGTAAAAAGCAGGAAGGTTAGTCAGGGAGCTCTTTAAAAGGGTGATTCTACCCCCCAAAGACAATTGTTTAGCTTTCCAGGTCGCCGATTTCTTTTTCAGCCATTCCAAAACTGGTTCCCGTATCAGCATCAAAGTACATTTAGCTCCTAAAACAATAAACAATATATTGTTTAGAACATATATGGACCATGGTTTCTATGCTAGTTTAATTTTTATTTTCCAAGAGGCGAGGAGGTTGATTTGAATCATGCACGTGACTTACAATATGCATCATTGATTCTTTCTATGTTTGCTAATCCTAATGCTTGGTTCCATGTTTTGAGCTCCATGGGAACCTGGGATGTAGTTTGCTGGTGTTTTGGCTTTTGTTTTACCTTCACAACTTCATTGGAAGTAGGGATCCTATGGGCTTCAGTATCTTATTTGAGAAGGGTATTTAGCTTTGAGTCTTCTAGTTTCATGRGCTTTGGTGGCTTTCAGGGATGGGTTTTACATAGACAGGAGGTGTTTATTCAACTCTAGGCCCCCACCCCTACACGTTGGGGTTTTGTCGTCTCTTTTTCCCTTTTCTTGTTCTTTCTTTTATATGTTTTGTATCATAGTTGTATAAATTTTATGATTTATGATTCAAATCATCAACCCCGAGGGTTTCAATTCAAATCATTTTTAATCCTATGATTTGATTCATGAGCCTTACAATTGATGTGATTCATGCATTTCAAATAAATTCAATTGAGATATAATTTCCAATTTGTCATTCCTTTGTGTTTCTTTAATTCTTTTCAAGGGGCACTTGTATGTTGTTTATTTAGGTTATTTAAAACCTATTTAGAAACCATATTGAATTTGTTTTCTTTCATGTATAGGTTAAAGAGCCATTGTATTTGGTTTAGTTGACTTTTAAGTAAAACTTATACACCATCTAATATTCTAGTGTTCAAGCAGTAAACTCTATTTATTGTATACATATATGGTATAAAGTTACTTTCCTATATCGTCGTCATCTAAGCCTTGCTTGAACTATATGGGGTTGGCTATATGAATCGATCCCGCTTTGCCATTTTGTTCTGTCCAGTGCCATATCCATTTTTTAAAATCATTAAATCATTTCTTACCACTAGCTCTTATAGCCTTTTCAACATGTATCAAAATCCAATATAAGTCTTTTTTCACCAAGATCTAGTGTTTTGTTTTGTTTTTTTTGTCGAGTTGGTCACTTGTCTGTACAGTCTGCTGATGTCATTTGACGGTGGGGTGATGACATCATCTCAGGAATGGTGCAGTCAACAGAGGAGGGTTGGTTTCCTGCTCTGATACCAGGTAGAAGATTAATGGCAAAATAAAGTGAAAGACGGAAGAAGGAAAAGAAAGGAAGAAGCGGAGAAACAAAAAGAGAGAAAGATTAAAGGGCCAAAAATGGCTATGTGCCCTTCACATCAGTATTTATAAATAGAGTACAATGGCAAAAATACCCCATAGTAAGAACATTATATGCCACTTCTACATACCATATAAAGTATTCAGAATATAACATAATCTAGCAAGGAGAAAATATGCTGAAAGCAGACAAAATGATTTGGATTTCTATGGATTTGAAAACTAACAAATTCTGCACTTGTTAATAATGGTTATACAATTTTCCTTCTCTTTCTTTTCTTTTCAACTTCTCATTAGAGAGTGAACCCTTACTGCCTTGTTTTTTTTAGTTTATAGGTTTTTGGGTATTTAAATTTCATTCTCAATATTTTCATTTGAAGTATTTTATAGGGGAACATTATTTACTTGATTTATTATATTGTTGAAAGATCCAATTCTCTGTTACTATATAGTTTCTTTATGCAAAAAGATCAGCTTGGTGGAAGTATAGTCTTAATATTTTCATCCTCTATATGCATTTAGGACTAACTTCTAAGATATTATCTTATTGACTTATTCTGGTACTGGGCTGCAGACATTTAGAATCACATTTTATTTTATCTATTTTAAGTGGCTCATTTGAGCTAAGCTCTATATTTGGCCTTCCTAATGATTGAAGTTTCCCATTTAGGTGTCTTTGGGGCCCTTGATGTTTGCTTCAAAATTTGTCCTTGTTGGAGACCATTACCAGCTACCTCCACTTGTCCAAGTATGCATCCATGTCTTTTCAGTTACTACTAAAGTTTTATATTTTTATTTACTGCTTGATTTGTCTTACTAGACAAAAATATTTCTGAGTTTTTCACGTATTTTTAGAGTGTTGAGGCTCGTGAAAATGGAATGGGGATAAGCTTGTTTTGCAGGCTTTCAGAAGCACATCCACAGGCAATTTCAGCTTTGCAGTCCCAGGTATCTTTGAGTCAGCAACCATATTGCTACACTTTATTGTCTCTTTTCTGATACTCAAGTATCAAATCAATTAACTGCATTTGAACATATTACTACATGAAGTATCGCATGTGTGCTGGAATAATGGAACTATCAAATGCCCTAATATATGGGAATAGATTGCGTTGTGGTTCCTCTGAAATAGCGAATGCCAAGCTRAAGTTTTTAGGTGCAGAGCCTATGACATCATGGCTGAAAGAGGTAAGCCAACTTTCTGCAGAAAAATTTTCTTGCACAGTTGTACTTTATTGTTTGTGCCCAGCATTTCTGTTAATGGATTTCTAGGTCATGCTATAAGTTGATGCTTTGCATTATTGAAAAACCAAACATTGTATCAGAACCCAACACATTAGAGTCTCCATTAAATAATATATCAAAGCATATCTAAAGAGGTCTAAGAGATTTTATTAATAAGTCAGCAAAAATAGAAGTACAAAGAACAGTCCATAGATCTTGAGGGAAAAACAAAAATATCAATTAAAACCATTAACCAAAACAGGGACACCTAAAGGCTAGTTCACCATGGCTGGTCCCAATACAGCCCTTCTTGATTTACATCTTCTCTAGATATATAATTTGCAATTAAGTTGAGCTTTGTACCCATTTAAACAAGATAGTTAATCTTGAAGAAAAAAACCCAGCCTCCTTAGTATACTGAAAATATTTGTTGCACAAATAAAGGAATTTTTAAATAAGGAAAAAGTGATGGGTGAAGCTACATGGCCTTTGATTGTTTTTCACTGTCATCATCATCATCATCATCCAAGCTTTATCCCAACCATATGGGGTTGGCTATATGAATCCTGTTGCAGCATTCTGTTCTGTTTAGTGCCATATTCATTATCATAATAATTTTAAATTTATAATAGCTTTATAATGTAGATATGTTTCTAATTCTTACTAATTTTCAATAATCTATTATTAGAAAATAAATGAGGTTAAAAAGACCATTTGCTTCAATAGAATATCCATCATAAGAGTATTGTCTAAGAATCTTAATGTTGGAACATTTTAATGGTACTACCAACATGAAGATGAAGTTAATAATTATGGTCCTTTTCCAGTCTGTTTCTGCATAAATGTGTTTCTAGATGTTATTTATGAATATGAATAGATCTTTTTTATCAGTAACTGTAGATTTCATTAATAGGTGGAAAGTAAAAACAGAGCACAATAAGAGTATACAAGCAGTGAGAGATAAACCCTCTTATCTCTCCCCAAACCACTCTTCCTACAATTGAGCCCAAAACAACTGATCTCTTCCCATCCCCTGTTTAACAAGAGCATTGGCCAAGGAATTTGCACTTCTTTTAATCCATTGTATGCTCACTCCATATTCTGTATCAACCATTTGAATTTCTTCCTTTCATTGTTATAGCTCCATAGTTTTGCCTCCTCACTTTGTAGCCACCCCAGAACCAACTTGGAGTCTCCAATAATTAGTTTCTGAGTGTTCAGATTTCTTGCCCTCTGTACTCTTTCAAGCAAACCCTTGTATTCCCACATGTACAAGTGTGTAGTCTGCTATTTGCATTGTTAGTATTTAAACAACTGAATGTCAATGCAGCTTTGATGTGTTAATTCTGTTTCTCTTATTTGTGATTACTTGATTTGTTGTGAACTTTTGTGTTTTGTACTTTGCATAGGTCTTGAATCCAAGCAGATCAGTTATATTTATCAACACAGGTTAGTAAATTTATGTTATTATTTGGTTGGTATGTAAGATTTTTCAGTATTTATGCATCCTTTTTCATATGTTAGATATGTTACCTGCTTTGGAAACGAAAGATCAAAATGCTGTTAACAACCCTTTGGAAGCTTACATTGTTGCAGAGGTACAATACTTGCCATTATACTACTCTCAAGAAAAGACTTCAGTTCTCTCCATTTTTCTATTTTGCTTGGACTTCTCATATATATAATGTACCAGTCAAAAAAACAAGATGGTCTTCATATTTTTATTGCTTTATTCGTAGGTCACTGAAGAACTAGTGAACAAAGGCATTATTGGGGAAGATATTGGTATCATCACTCTTTACAATTCTCAGGCAAATCTTATCCGACGTGCTGTCTCTGCAACATCTGTGGAGATCCATACCATTGACAAATATCAGGTTCTGTTTTTGCCACTATTAGTTTGATAGATACCTCCCCCTTTTCTCTCCTTTTTTGTTTGAAGATGACCTGTTTGCTGGAATGGCAAGAGTGTCCATCTTTTAAAGTTAATGGCATTTTTCAAGTTTGTGTTTGATTCTTTTCACTTGCCACATGAAAGCAGTAAGAGGTCTTGAATTGCATTTTGTATATTGAACATGTTTACATTGTGGTGCTTCCTCAATTTTAGTTTAATATTTTATTTGCTAGTTTTCTATTTTCTTAATATTTCTTCTGCTTCCAACTCCATCTTTGCCTATAATATTTCAATTTGAAATAGATATATGAATGGGCTGAGATCAGAATCATATCAGCAACATCAGCACGAGTATTTCTCTAATTTGTTGTGTGACCTGTATTGACTGATCAGGGACGGGATAAGGACTGCATATTGGTATCCTTTGTAAGATCTAGCGAAAATCCAAGATCCTGTATATCTTCACTTCTCGGAGACTGGCATAGGATCAATGTAGCTCTAACACGTGCCAAGGTAGGTGATGAATGTCATCATGTCTAAGTAATTTTCTTTCAATCAAATTTACAGTTTGAACACTTCAAAGTTTCCAACCTGGCTTTAATATATACTTGTGCATTTTGAACATGTAGATTAAAAGTTACAAATAAATAATTGCATAAAAATGATGGAACTATTTTCATTAACCTGCATGAAACCAAGGTTCAAAATATCGATACGTATTGGCCCGTATCGGCTGATACATATTGTATCTGGGCCTTCCCGATATGCCCCTACAGGGAGTGTTTTGGGTCAGGCCATGGTTCAGATATAAGGTACAGGAGCAAGTATGCACTCCTTCAAGGGAGTAAAACTGAACCACCAAAATGACATATCAGCACCCCTTCTCTCTAGAAAGTGCTAATCATTTTCAGATATTAATTTGGTCATTGTGGTTTGTGCAGAAGAAGTTGATTATGGTGGGGTCATGCAAAACTCTGTCAAAGGTTCCACTGTTGAAGCTTCTGATAGAAAAGGTTGATGAGCAATCTGGCATTTTGAGCGTCTCTAAGAAGGATATCAATAATTCACCTAAACTGAAGAGATGCTCTCATCCAAATGGTGTACAATAATGCATCAAACCCCCTTCACCAATTTTGTATATTAAAATTCTGTGATTATTTTTTTGTTCAATTGGCAGTGTGCAATAGTTCATTGATCTGCCTTTCTGCCAAAGGTTTTCTGAAAATTTTGTAATCATTGTGTTTAATTCAGAAATGTAAATATGATTAAGTGTTCAGTGATCTCTCTCTCTCTCTCTCCCCTCCCTCCTACTACATTTATTGAAACAGTTAAGATTAGATAGAGCTTTCTAAACTAAACTAAACTAATGAAGAGAAAACGAGGGTCAACATTTTAAAAGTAATCTCATCGTGGTTTGTCTATTTTTGTGTACTTRATAATAACGAACTAATATGATTAGTAGAAAATTAGTAATGAGCTGATGAACACTGTTCGTTTCACTTATTTTGGGTCTTTGAGGTCAAGAACCGTCTCGAGTCCGGTTTCATTTAATCTTAGATCCTACTCATGTACATCTATTATCTAGCTTCTGTGCTCAGTCACCAACTGATAATCTGTTGGCAGACGAACAATGGAGATGTTCCTAATACATGTTGGGATATGCTGTGGGGTGTAGATGTAAATTAGTAGCAGACTCGTAGAAAACAAGGCAAGTCTGACATGAGGAGCCACTGAACAATACCATTCTCATTGTATTAGAGTGCTCTTAGCGTCAATCAAGGTTCAAAGTTTCGATATAAAAATTGGGTGTACCGGACTTTGTATCAACACTTTTATATACTTTTTTTTTTTGTTTTTTGTCAAAATATGTTGAGGGGTCGGTTAAAGGCCTGGTTACCCCGTGAAACAGGTCGTACTCCAGAACTCTTTACATTTCGTGTATCGGTGACCCATCAATATGATACGCATGGCTGATATGTAATGAAAATTTGAACCTTGGTTCGAATCCTTTTCCAGCTATTCTAGATCCATCGGTGGTTGATATTCCCTTGAAGGTTCCCTCAATCAAGTGGGGGAACCTGTGGGCTTTTTCAGATGAAGAGATTGAAAAATACCTTTTGTCTTTGGTTTGCTTTGGTTGGGAAGTGCTCGTATGGTAGGCCTTCTTTGGCTGAGATTCGAGAGTTCTTGGTAGGATCATTTCGTCTAAAAGGTGCTTTGATTGTTAGTGTAAAGGATTCCTAACATTTTTCTTCCTTTTCCTACTTTTTTCTTCAAACCAAACTTAAATGGACTCAGGGGATGGATAAACGTGTTTTAAAATTAGATTAAGCAATAACGAGGTAACTAGAAGTCTAGAACCACAACGGGTAGGGTTTATGTGGGGTGGATCTATTGAAGGAAAATCCTAGTCAAGTTTGGGTGGGTTTAGGGAAGGAGGGTTTTTGGCAGAAAATAGAATATGAAAACGAGACTCCGCAAATACTGTCTCTTTTTGCTTTTTTAAGTATGGGCATCGGGAGGAAGATTGTAAGTAGAAACAAAATAAGAATTCCAATGAGGAAGGGGAAACTTCAAGTCTATGAATTTTCAATCCAATGATGAAGCCAAAGGAGATCGTAGAGCCGTGGTGGTGAGAAAGGAGAAACTGGTGGTTAAACAAATATACCATCTAGTTAGGAAGRTTGTTCCAACTATGGCAAAAAGGGGGAAACAGATGAAGACGCTACGGACGAGGTGGATAATCTAGTTGAGCCAATTGATACCCGATGCTTGGAAGTTAGGGAGGTGATGCCTGATGGGAACAACTATTATACGGAAAACTGGAAGGAGCCAAGCTGATTTGAAATTGATAAAAAGATGATATTGGGATTAAAATGACCTTCTTAGATGACACCACTTCTACTTTATCCTCTGCCTGATAGGGTTATGAATGCAAAAGAATTCAGGAGGTCGAAGGTGGAGTTGGGTGAAAGGCTGAAACAATGGGAGAAGGACAAAGTCCAAAAAATTGATGATGAATTGCTCTCTAGAATGTCTGTGAGATTGGAAGGAGCTTCCTATGTTGTTTCGGAGGATGAGTGTGCGACTAATGCTGATCATTGCCCTCTGGAGGAGGTTTTGGTGGGTTTCAACAGATGTGGTTGCACCATACCAGTTTTAAAAATTTGGTGGCTGTTGGAAGGAAGAACCGAAGAAGTTCATGCCAATTCATTGATGAATGATGACTCTTTTTCTTTAGTTACGTAAGTTGAGGAGTCGGCTTAAGCAGTGGAACTTCGATGTTTTTGGTAATATTCACCAAGGTCCAAAGGTGCAGAAGATGGTGTACAGAATGCGTAAATGATCCACTTACAACAAAATACTGACAATAGTCTTGCTCAACCAAGGAAAAAGCTCCATGAGGTGATCATATCATATCATTAGAAGAAATTTTTTGGAGACAAAAAGTTAAAATTAAATGGCTGAACTCTCAAGATCGTAACTCTAAGGCTATGTTTGGTTTGAAGGAAAAAATAGCGAAAGGAAAGAAAAAAGAAGAAAAACCTTTATAAATCTTGTATAGATTTCCCTACATTTCTCTATTCTTTCCTTCAAACCAAATATAACATAAGTTCTTCCATCTTTCTGTCAAGGTGAATAGTGGCCGCTTGGCTCCGTTAATTTCGAGTGGGAAAGGTTTGGGTCGCTTGGTTGTTGTTTACCTAGGCTGTTTTTTTTGGTTGAAAACATGTTCACCATGGACATGTGGGGGTAAAAAATAATTTTAATCAATACTTTTTTAATAAAAAAGGCATATAAKGGAGTGAGGGACTGCGTGAGATGAATTCTGATTCAATTCTCACAAAACCCTACTCTCACTGCCCTAAGTTTTTTTCAGCCGTGCATTGGGAACATTTTCCTCTAGTCCAATTGTCATCAGAACATGTGTGCAAATTTKGCTACATGACCGATGACAAATCAAATATTACTCAAACCAAGGTATATATCCTTRTTTTGGGAGTCCAGATCACCTGCCAATATGGGTTGGAACGTGTTTTATTAGCAAAAGGTCTAACTCTGTTTTAGGATTTGTAATTCCTCAGGATTCTCTACTTCTATTTTCCTCCGATTACTGTCCTACTGTCTCACTCCCAAGTCAAATATTATTCCTTCTTTCTTAATTCATCAAAACCTTCTTCTTCCTCGTTGTAAACGTATTCTTTTTATCATTCGTTACTTCATCTTTATCGTCAAATTTCTTCTTTATTTCATTCTCATTCTGATTCCAATTCTGATGATTTGATCTCACTTCATCCTTCTCTTCTTCTCTTCATCTACTTCTATTTAATTTCCTCCTCGTAAATGTCTGGAAGAGTTCAAGGTCGGCGTTGATGAATGCATACTTATCGAGTAGAAACTAGAAATAGAGAAAGAGTAATTAATTATATTAGAAACTATATTGCTTGTGATCGATCAAGAGTTATAAATATTAGACAGCAGATGGTTGCTTTAAAGTTTAATACCATTTCTGAATATAAACACATACTTGTATTAATTTATTACTTCCATTAGAGTTCAAGAGGTAGAAAGATAATCAGATGATGCAATATACAAAAAGGAATCCAATTTACTTGGGAAAAAAACCCTAATGAATCCAATCTGTTGACATCCCTACCCAAACTCATTAGTAGGCTTGTTCATGACCGGTCTGAAGCCTGAAAAAGTAATGTAAAATGTTTATGGGCCGGGCTTTGAGTTGACCCATGAACATTTTACATTGCTTTTATCTTCAGACCGGGCCCATTTAAAATTTGGCAAAAGCTCAGCCTGAGCCCAGCCCATGAACAGATTTATTCATCGGCCTGTTGTTATAGGCGAGATCAGATGGTCTGAAGACAAAATCATGCACAACAGGATGAGCAACCTATCACGAATGAAACATGCCAGTGTTTCATAACAAGCCTTTCATGGGGCAAAGTTTTAGGGTTAATCTATTTGAGATATCTACATTATATGTGGAACATCAGGGAGGAGTGCAATACTTCTGGCTGCAACTGCTTTCAAAGGCCCCTTGATGCTAATAAGAAATGAGACCCTCCTCCAAGTTGAAGTTGGTCTTATGGATATCTTTTAAAATGTTCCAACTCATTGATGATGGCTTGTTATATGCATCAGAGCTGTTAATCTACCAGCAACACTTATGGCTCAGTTTGGAAAGAGTACAAATACAAATATGTAGAGTGCAAAATCTTGTATTTTGTATTATTTTATAAGTATTTGTAGTGTTCATATTTGTATTTATACTCTTTCCAAACTGAGCCTATAGGATTCAAAGTGTTAGTAAATCAGATACATCCAAAAGTATTTAATTTAGAATGCACAAATGCAGCACCGGAGAAGAAAATATATTTAGGGTTCATTTGGTTCGCAGTTGGAATCAAAATTGGAATGATCTATTCCCCCAGTCTGTTTAGTTCAAACAGGAATGGGAATGAAATTTGAAATCAACAGGAATGAGATTTAATTCCCAAGGGAGGAAGAGGGAATGGCCATTCCCTCAAATGGGGGAATGCCATTCCACTAGGAATGGGAATGGGATTCCAATTCCGTCTAACCAAACAATTGAAATCAGAATAACCCATTCCAACTCCAGGTATAGAACCAAACGAGGCCTTAGTTTAGTGAGGGACCGAAAGGTGAAAGGGAGCTATTGGCACTCGGCATTGGCATCCCTCCAATTCCAGATGTGGAGGTGTAGGATTAAACCCGTATAACTACAGGCTTTCTTGTAATGTCAATCGGCCTCACATGCACCATCAGGATTTCATTCGCTTTTACCTTTCAGACTTTTTTTTTTCTTTTCTTTTGAACATAGAATTTCCTTTTTGGTAAAAGAATTAATTCAATTACAAATTTCCCTAGTTGTAGTTGATTTTTCCTTTTTTTTTGTATTTAATTTAGGTAATTAGATTAAGTGGCGAGGTCGGATCAGGTCCCAACGCAGGGTCCCAACAGCCTTTGCAACCGTGCATTGAGATGACAGCATCTCCCTCTGTCTTTCATGGCGAGATGCTCTTCTAATGTATAGATGCCGGTGCCTACCTCCATGGACAACCCCCATCAATACATAATACGGTCAGGCCCATGATCAGCTCTGATTCGATTCATTATATCAAATGGGCCTGGGGCGAAAAGACAATGAAAAAATGAGAATGATTAATTAGGCGATGTGATAATTGGGCCATGCTGCACTGGAACTGGAAAGGACAGAATGGGAAACAAGGATTATTGTATTTGTTGCTGAGTGCTGACTGACTCCATGCAACCAGGACAGGACAAGAGCCAAGAGGGAGTATGATTTATGAACCAAGGGGAACGATACCGTAAAAACGCCATATCTACGTTTTGTAATAATGGGCCCCACAATGTAGTGTGAAAATTTCAAGAGTTGCATACAAATCGTTGCTTGCAAGAAATGCACGTGAATTGTGATTTATAATGTTATGAAACATGGATGTTTTGAAAAGCATTAATAGCATCTCTTGCCACGTGGTCATATTGGACCCACAGAACCTTCGTTACACAAATGGGTATCTATCTATYTCTTCACAAGGAAAATTAAAGCAACAAATCATAAAATGAAGAGGCCAATAACGATCAGGATAGACAGGACACGGAGTTGGCAAATGAGTATGGTGGTGAGGGAGCGACCGACGAGACGACGATCCCATAAGGGTAGTTTTGGAATTTAAGTTAATTCATACCGACATCTTTCCTTTCGAATTCATTTATTCCTTGTTTGATATTTTTCGTCATGTTGCGTGGTGGGTAACCACTAACCACTAACCACTATACACAGATCACAGATGTTCACTACAATGCTGGTTTAGTGGAGTTATACCCAGTCTCAGTCACACTTCCCTAAGCTCTATCTCTGGTCTGGACCGTCTGGTCTCTACTCTAAATCTGCCTCAGGTGCTCTCTTCTCTTTCTCTCACCATTTCAACTAATGTAATGGCGAGAGACTGAGGAACCGACACCACTAGATCAAATCCGTTAAAGCACTCTTCTGACAGGTACGTCTCTCTCTCTCTCTCTCTCGCTCGCTCCTTCATTTCCGTACAAATTGTAGTTTTGTTTCGAGATTGCTTCACTTACGCTGTTCTCTTTGCTTTTACTTGCCGAGATGTGAGATTTGTTCGTGAACCTCTCTTGCCTCTCCTTTTTGGGTTAACTTGATTGAATTTAAATGTCGGTACTGAAAATTTTATGAAAAGAAAGGATGATATGTTCGGATTTGTGATCTGAAGAACTTGTATTGGGTGGTGAAGCGGCTCACTTAATTCTGTCCCCTGTTGTAATCCTGGGGTTCTAGGTTGATCACATTTTTTTTTTTTTTTTTTTTGTAGATATGTCATCTTTCATCTTAGAAACAAAACGATTGAAAGGATCGGAAATGTTTTTGTTCTCTAAACTTAAAACGAATGCTACATTTTTTAGTCCGTCGGAAATGCTCTTGGCAGCAGTTCAATGAGGGTATTCAATTTGAAAAAGCAAATGCACTGGGTACTATGGCGGAAAGAAAGGAAGGGCAGAAAACATATCAGTTTTTAAATTAAAAAATAAGAAAAATCATGTGTAATTGTGCCAATCGTTGACGTTATCAAATTGAGGGATTGAATGAAATAAGGAAATAAAAAATAGAACTGAAATCGACTTTTGCAACCTGATTTGCTTATTGTTCGACCTTAGTTTTTTTTTAAGGTGAAAATTTTATATGCAATCTCAGTTTCTGTTCCTTATTTTGTTGCACTTACTTGCATTCATTATATGTGTTGTGTTAAAAGTATCTTTACGTGTTTTTCACAGTATAGAGCATATGTAACACAGGCCTCATGGGACTATTAAGAACCAATAATGCGAATAAGGTCTCAAACAAATTTTATCAAACCAACAATATTTTAAAAGAGAATGCCATAAGCGAATTGTTATCTTGCTGATATGAATACAGTTTATCTCTGACTACTGAATCATGCTTCATACTCCTTTGAAGTTTAAATAAAATTTCTTGTCTTTCATTCTTCAACAACTGATCAGCGATTTCCTTTGTGGTTATTGTGCTTATCATTGTTTGACACCATAAAGTAATAATTCCCGCCCAAAAGARATGAAAAAAAGAAAAAAAACGGAATATGTACTTTGGCAATTTGTTGCAAGTTCTTACCTCTTATTTGTTGCAAATTACAGAAAACTGGGAACTGTTCAAAGCATATAATGGGCTCAAAACTCAACTCAGGAAGCAGTAGGACTCGAAGCCCAGCATCTATATTTATTGTGGTTGGCCTCTGCTGCTTCTTTTACATACTGGGGGCATGGCAGAAGAGTGGTTTCGGAAAGGGAGATAGCATAGCATTAGAGATTACCAAACAGACAGACTGCAGTATCTTGTCCAATTTGAATTTCGAGACTCATCACAATGATGTTGGTGAGATTGTTGACCCTTCTGATACAAAAGCTGAAGTCTTTGAACCCTGTGATGTTAAATATACAGACTATACTCCTTGTCAAGAACAAAATCGTGCAATGGCCTTCCCAAGAGAGAACATGATCTACAGAGAAAGACACTGTCCCCCAGAAGATGAAAAATTGCGATGCCTTATTCCAGCACCCAACGGTTACATGACTCCATTTCCCTGGCCAAAGAGCCGTGACTATGTACACTATGCTAATGTTCCTTATAAGAGTCTGACAGTTGAGAAGGCTGTCCAGAACTGGGTACAGTTTCAGGGTGATGTTTTCAAATTTCCAGGTGGGGGAACAATGTTTCCTCAAGGAGCAGATGCATATATTGATGAACTTGCATCAGTTATCCCTATTGCAGATGGTTCGGTTAGAACTGCACTGGACACGGGTTGTGGAGTATGTTCCCATCCTTTTATCTTTCGTTTTTTCTTATGGTAAATTAGTGAATATATCTATTTGGTTTGTTTTCTTAGATTTCATGCTTCATAAATTTGGACTTGCATCATCCTTCTCTTCCATGTGTGTAGCTAGTATTTAAAGTTAGTTAGATTTTGCAGGGTCTTAGACATACCCAAGAAGCCACTATTCTGCTTCTAGAGGAAGGCTTTTAAGGACTGATGGACATGGCACAATGCTTTTTTGTAAGAAAATCTGGCATATGCTTCTGTGCTTAGGGATGGGTTCATGGCACAGCAGCATAAACGGTCATTGGGGCAAGAAAAAAGTAAAAAAGCAAAAGAGGAAGTTTCCCTATTTAATTCACACCTGGTTGCCATCCCTTTCTATGGTCAAGATCCACCATGTGATGGGTCTGACCTTGATAATTTCTTACCTGATTAACTGAACTGAATGGTTCTCTTGGGCTTAATAATCAGGATTCTGGCTATTAGATATCTATGTTGAGTGTTGACTTGATCATATCCATTCAATATACCATACCTTTCTCAAAAAATAAAAAAATGTACAGAGTTGCTTCAATTAGTTCAAAAATCAAAATGTATGCCTTGATCCTGATAACTCAGACAAGCGTATTTGGGCCCCTCAACCTAAGGGTCTGTTTTCATGTGCCTCCTTCAAGTCTCTTTGTAATTATTCCCCCTCTCCTTTGTTCCCCTTGAAAGAGTTCTGGTGCAAACCCGTTCCCCCTAAAATAAGAGTTTTTTGTTGGGAAGTAATTCATGGAAAAATTAATACCTTGGAAATGCTACAGAAGAGGAAACCCAATTTATGTCTCTCTCCTAACTGGTGTGCCTTGTGCAGATCTGATAATGAGAGTTGCTCTCATTTATTGATTTCCTATTCTTTTGTTGCAGATATATGGAATTGTTTTTTTTTCTTTGTTTGGGTGCAGGTGGTCCTTACTAGAGGAGGCTAATTTGTTGTTTGATCCTTCTATGTTTACTTGGCCAAAAAAGAGGGGAAGGATAATGTGGAGGTGTGTCAGAGCAGCCTTGGTTTGGACTATTTGGGAAGAGAAGAATATGAGAATCTTCTCTGAGAAGGAGAGAAGCAACGAACAGATAAGGGACTGTGTGATGATTAGAGTGGTGGGATAGGATCATAACCCAAGAAGCAAAGCTTGAAACCAAGTTTACTATAGAAGAAACAAGCATTATCATGTGGAATATATGGAAAAAGGTGAAATAAGAAGATATTCAATAACAAAACTTTCCCCACTGATCAAACAATTATTAAAATCAAATGGGACTTCGATGAGTATTTAAGGTATGTCACCCAATGTCCTCAATTGCCTCMAAGGGGAATGGTGAGAATCTTATTAGATGGACCTGGCCGAATAACGACATAGCTAAGATTAACTTTGATGCTTCCAGGAACCCTGATGGTAAAGCGGCGGTTGGTGCAATATTAAGAGATGAGTGGGGGCAGACTTTATGGGTGACCTGTGAGGATGTTGGTGTGTGCTCGATAAATGAGGCTGAAGCTTGGGCAGCTCTTGAGGCTCATCGCATTGCAACCAAATTCCCTCAGTATAAATTCATCATTGAAGGGGACTCGTGCATTATCATTGATTGCMTTTGTGATCATATGGTGCCTCCATGGAACATTTACAGCCTCATCAACGTATGCCAGCTCCTGCGAGTAAATTCTGAGCTCAACATCTCCTATTCTCATGCATTCAGGGAAGCAAACTTTGTGGCGGATCGACTGGCTAGCCTGGGTCACTCTTTATCCTTTACTGGCCGAAGGCTTTCTGATCATCTTCTTAGTTACATTTGTCTATTTAATGCTTGGGGTCATTATTCTGAGCGTCATGCTTCGTTCTAAGGCTTAGTTGTCTTTTTCTTTTTTCTTTTGTGCTTCTTTTTCTTGTTCTCGTTGTGTTGTTTCTTTGTTTTATCCTTCCCATTGTATAAAAAAAAAGAAGAGTGATTCATTGGATCAAATCTATGGATCTGTTTTCTCAAATTTCTCCTGATGACTTGTGGAGAAATTGGGAAGGAGTGGCAAGAAGTTCTTCCAGAAGGGAAAGGATAAATGCTGTATGGCTACCCCCACCTGAAAACTATGTGAAACTGAATTTTGACGGGAGCAGCAGGGGGAATCCAGGACCTGCCGGCATAGGAGGGGTTGTGAGAGACATGGATGGCAAACTGTTAGCCTTGTTTTCTTGCCCAGTGGGGATTGGGGACTCTCTCGAGGCAGAATTACTTGCTGCCTTACAAGGAGCACAAGGATATGAACTTGAGGATAGAATGGGTGAGGAGATTGGCTAATGGGTTAGGTGATACCCTTGCCAAACAAGGGGTGAATAGACAATCTTTGTTTTGGGCTCACCTGTAATATTTTTGTAATAGTTTATGTTCTGTTTTTGTTTATAGAGAGGTAGCTTCTCGTGCCTCTCTAAGGGATGCTTGTAATGCCTATACCTTCAGAATTAATAAAATCTATTCTCATTCATAAAAAAAAAAGATCTCTTTGATGATAAAAACAAATGCAATGGTTTGGATTGTTGATTTCATCTTGCAAGTATATGACATTTTGACCTAGGATATCTTACAATCATTTTTTGGTGGGGCCCTACCTCCTTCATGAGCTATTAGCATTAAATATAAGATAGTAATGGCACAACTAGCATTTTAAACAGTTTTCCTCATTTATTTCTGAGTGGAATATTCTTTCTATGATAGTGAGAAAAAAATCTTTAGTAGAAGATCAAGACTGTAATCAGTCTTAAATCCTAATAGGTTTTAGGTTTACAAAACAGAAGAAAAGTGAGAGAAAGGAGAGAGAATAGAAGAGAAACAGGAGAACACAAGTGGTTGAAAGGAGGGACAGATTCTAACAGATCTGTCGCCGCCACTCTCTTAATATTTATAGGTTATGTTTAGTACACAATGGAAAGGACACATCTGCCCTTAGTACTTACATAATAAATAAAGTAAATAAAAGCTGAAATAAATAACAACTGAATTAACAAACTGACTCAAACTGACACTACTATAACTGAAACAAATAACTACACATGCTGTCCTACGAACACAGTGGGGACCACTGCAGTGGGGCCCACATCAGTGTTCTCTACATCTTTATTAAAACAATGAAAGGGAGAAAGAAGAAAGACCCTTTGGAAGCAAGAAGGGCCCAAAACTACACATTTCCATCAAGGTGTTTTAAGCAAAATTATGTTTTAGCTTGGTTCTGTACATTATTATCCTTGTCACATTCTGTTCTAATTTGATCTCTCTGTTGATGACCTTTGGTACTCGATCATTTGTACTGGACTGACTACCACAAGCATGACATAGGTTGCAAGCTGGGGTGCCTACCTCTTGAAGAGAAATGTACTGGCTATGTCATTTGCACCACGCGATAATCATGAAGCACAGGTGCAGTTTGCTTTGGAGCGAGGTGTACCCGCTATTATTGGTGTTCTTGGCACTATCCGTCTTCCTTACCCATCAAGAGCCTTTGATATGGCTCAGTGTTCTCGATGTTTAATACCATGGACATCAAATGGTAAATGCTAGTCCTGACCCAAAATGGACATTGCAAGATCTCTTAATGTTCATTTTCATCAGGATAAGGAAATTACTTAATACAACTATGATTGTAATGTTGATACTCTTTAAAATTTTATTTTATTTATTTTTTCATCACTTTAAGTTCTGTTTTTTTTTGTCTTTTCATAAATCATCTTATGCATGTAAAGTAAGTGCTTTTGGGATTATCTATATTCTATAGTAATTTTTCAAAGTATTGTAAATCTCCTTGATTTAGAGATACTAGCAAAAGGTCTAGCATGTTGCAAGTTATATATTTTTCAAGAAAAGTTATTTCCTTTTAATTTTTCAAAATTCTGGCAACATGTAGAAAGCTGTAAAGTGTATATTATACACCTATTTTCTTTTATTACTAATAAGGGGCAGTGATGTGATTTTCACACTATTTTTAAGAGCATATATTCTAAGGGTGGGCCGGCTATGAGGCTATCACTCTTCATTCTCTCATTCAAAGGTATAAGATTTCTGTCTCTGTTTATTAAATATTCCTAGACAAAGATATCACAAGATTTTCAGGAACTTGATGTTTATAATTCAATGTATTGGAAGAAAAATATAGAAAAAAAGGAAAAATCTCATACCTCAGTGTCTTCCATTTGCAGATGGTATGTATATGATGGAAGTAGATCGAGTTCTTAGACCTGGTGGGTACTGGATCCTGTCAGGCCCTCCCATCAACTGGAAGACCTACTACAAGACATGGAAGCGGTCTAAGGAAGACCTCCAGAAGGAGCAAAGAAAGATTGAAGAATTGGCTGAACTTCTTTGCTGGGAGAAGAAGTATGAGAAAGGAGACCTTGCAATCTGGAGAAAGAAAGTGAATGCTGAATCCTGCCATAGAAAATCTGCTAATTTCTGTGTATCAGCAGATGATGATGTCTGGTCAGTTTACGTGCTTTTCCATTTTGTTAAAGAATTCATTGTGCTTGCTTTACAGATATTGTTACATTGGTCAAACATGGGTTTGAATTGGATGCTGCAAAAGATAACTAGAACATGTTCTATCATATCCAAGGAGTTTTCATGCTTTAGTACTTCATCTGTAAGATTCTTAAAATATAAATTTGATTTGCCAAAAACATTGGGCTTTCTAATCTGTGGTCAGAATTTCTAAATGAATTTTCAAAGCAATAGGTTTAGTGCTTTATCTTTTTTGATGCTCTTGTCCTCTTGACTTCTTGACCATTGTAACAATATTGTTACTTCTCTGGTTATACAGAAAATGATTCCCTAATATGGTCAAATAGGGATATACATAAAAAAAAATATGGTCAAATGGGATCTTTTGTACATAACCTGCCATATTTCTGCCACATGGAAGGATAATGTGCAATCTGAACCATCTGCCAAGTGGGGATCCTCTGGATTGGCTACCTATGTTGTGCAGTCTTCAAGTCCACATTATTATGTGTCCCACCTTTCATTAGTGTCTTCCACAAATAATATTGACCATTGAAAGTTTCAATACTTTTGTGGAGATATAACTTGTATATTCATTCATATAGGCACAGATAACTTGTTTCAATATTTTAATATTCAAGACACTTTGTATTAGTGTCAACTTCGCACTTGTATAAATAAGTTTTTTTTTTTTTTTTTCAACTGGCTTATTTTTTACCAAAATGTGTTAGCTCAGAGTGCCAAATAGCCTTCACTTACATCTCACTTTTGTAAGCAAGTTTTGTTTTTTCTCTCCTTCCAAACTGGTTATTTTCTACCAAAATGTTCCAACTCAGAGTTCCATATAGCCTTGGATTTTTAATTAGCATCTAATGATATACCTAGTAATTAGGATGGCATTGACCCACGTCTACTATCTATAAACAAGGCTCATGGTTAGATCTCCAAGATTAGGAACATAACCAATAGATTAGATCTTTCTCTTCTGAAGGTTTACTTTCAATTTCAATATCACTTCAAAGCAAATAAGAACACATTTAAGTAGCTTAGATCTTCATGGAGTGCTCTAGAAAAAAAATAACAGAATCATCATCAAATTGATGTTACAATCGCTCTAACTTTCTATGTTAACCCGCAGAAAGGAAAATAATAAACCACAAAATTGAAGAAACACCAAGATTTATGTGTTTTGGCTTGGTGCAATGGGCACCGGTTTGATGGAAGGTGGAGGAACTTGAAGGAGTGCTGCTCAAAAAATGCACCAGAAGATGCTATGATCGAAAAAACAAACAAAATTGAACAAAACCCAATACATCAAATCACAAGTTTCTAATGGAAAAGCCAAACCAATAACAGAACAGAAGATTGAAAGTATAATAGTAGAATCACCAGAGTTATCGAAACTGAAGAAAAGAAGATTGAAAGTATAATAGTAGAATCACCAGAGATATCGAAATTGAAGAAAAGAAGATTGAAAGTATAATAGTAGAATCACCAGAGATATTGAAACTGATAAGAACCCAGGTAGAAAGGACAATTGGCTGCTGAAAAAGCCAATATAATAATGTAGAACAACTGCTGAAAGATAGCATTGAACACCTAAATGCACAATGGAATTGAATTCAGAAATCAAGATCTTGGACTAATTATAACTATCCTAAAATTTGCTACAATATCCCAAAAGAATACCTCAAGAAAATTGTACTGGTTCTTCAAAATCAGAACTCCTAAGAGATCATCAAACTAATTACCATAGAGAAAACTAAATATTCATCTGAGAGATCAAAACCCTAAGCTCCTAACCTAAATATTCAGAAAGATGATTTCACCTCTTCTTAGATGACATTTAACTAGAAATAGATGCCAAATAAACTGATGAGATTGTCACCAAATACCAGAAAAAATCCCCCCCCCCCCCAAAAAAAAAAAAAAAAAAAAAAAAAAAAAACAACCATGGTGTAGCTGAAGTAGTTGATGTCCTGTTGGACACCAAAATATGGATTTCTCAAAATATGAACTTAAAAATGACAAGAAAACTTCTGGTCCTGAAGTAGAAATCCAAATGGTTAGAGAGATATGTTTTGGTAGAATTCTGTCGCATTGATTTCCAAAGTTGTCAAATCTAGGGCTGATTGAAACTAGTCTATAAACTTTCTCCAACCTAAAAGAATGACCTGAACAAACCAAGATAGGAATCTGAGATAAAAACTCAGCCACTTTTTCAGGGCTGAGGAGGGTGAAATAAAAAAAAAAAAATGACACCTGATCTATGGGACCTTGCTGAGATTCCAAAGAAACCCCTTGATCAATGGTGTTAACAATCCTACAAGCACTCCAAAAAATCCTGAAAAAACTGATGACCTTTAAAAATACCTCCTACCACTTATGGAATGAAATTGACTGAATAGATCTCATTCACTGAAACAAAATCCACATGCCTCTGAACACAAATCTAAGAATTGCAAGTCTCTCTTTAGCCCAATAAATTTTCAAATTGTTCTCATAAAATGTTTTCCCTTATTTTAATCCAAAGGCTGGTGTTACTCTGATACCATGTTAACCTGCAAACAAGAAAATGATTGAAAATAAGAGGAGGAGATACACCAGGGTTTAACATGGTTCAGCTCAGTAGATCACCTTGACCAAGTCCCATTAGCTGTCAAAGGAGTCTTCTATTCATGCTGACTAATACTTTGCATCAAGTATTTGACAAATCCATACTGCATGTGACTAAAGCTTTCTCCATATCTATCTTGCACATGACTTCTGGTTACTCAAAAATGCATTTATTAGCAGTCAACTACATCAATATTTTTCTAGCACATGACTTCTGCTATTCTTCTAACCAGCTCTTTTAGAAAGTTGTCAGGAATCCATCCATACCGGGGGCTTTGACCAAAAACCCTAGTGGATGGATAGGGTTGTGGATCCCAAAATAGCTGTATGAACACCACAGGGAAGGTTCTCCATAAACTGCCCTCGATTGTATAATGCTTCAGATATGGTGATTTATTGGCTTGAAGTAGTATTGAGAAACTTCCACTGAATTCTTCTTCACATATAGTATGCCCAATATATTTAAATCAGTATTATGAGAATTCTGATCTCTATAATAAAAAGAAGGTTCTTTTTTTTTGATAAATATAAAAAGAAGGTTCTTTTAATGATTGAAATTGGTCAGCACATTCCTTTTCATGCTAAGATCTCTTGTCATGGTTTTAAAGTAGTTCTTTTCTTTATCAAAATTTAAAGTATATATATTTCTTTGCTACGTTACCATCCTGAAGTTCAATTTGTGGTGTATTTTAGGTACAAGAAAATGAAGAAATGCATTACACCTCTCCCTAAAGTGACCAGTCAAAATGAAGTTGCTGGGGGAGCATTGAAGAAGTTTCCAGCTAGACTTTTTGCAATCCCTCCTAGAATATCTAAGAGGCTTGTGCCAGGAGTCACAGCGGAATCTTATCAAGATGACAATAAACTGTGGAAAAAGCATGTGAATTCTTACAAAAGGACCAACAAATTAATTGGATCAGGGAGATACCGGAACATTATGGATATGAATGCAGGCCTTGGAAGCTTTGCAGCAGCAATTGAATCACCAAAATCTTGGGTGATGAATGTTGTGCCTACTATTGCAGAGAAGAATACATTAGGTGTTATATACGAGCGGGGTCTGATTGGGATATATCATGACTGGTATGTTTCTATGATGAATTTTCTTTCTTGTTGGTGTCAAGTCCGGATAGCAGAGAACTCACTGCAGATCAGTATTCCTTAGTAACATTCTTTTATAATATATTGGACTTAGTCATAAGAATTGATCAGACATTTGGTTAAGCATGGCTGAAGTTCATATCCCCCCCCATTATTGTTACAATTTCTCTTAGCCAGTGGATGCAGTTGAAATTTGGATTTGTAAATTCAATTACAGGAAAGGAAGGAAGCATAGCAGTGGAAATGTTGATATGTTTTTCACTGTCATTTTTTTCAGGTGTGAAGCCTTCTCTACTTACCCAAGGACATATGATCTCATTCATGCCAGTGGTGTTTTCAGCATGTACCAGAACAAGTAAGCCATTTTCTTCCCCCTATCATAAACTAATGACATTCAGCTTCTTCAGATTCATTTATATTCAATAAGAAACAATTGGAGTTTGCAACGTCATTTGTTCATGAACAAAGGTGAAAATTCCTTACAGAACTTTCATGGTTTTAATGTTTTTTGAAAACCTAGTTCAAGTTATTGATTCAAATGTCTAAAATCAATAAATCCAAATACGTTTTGCTTAATTTTATGCAAAAAAAGTACTTTGAGCATTTTCTTTGGTTTCACAATTGTTTATTGTTGGTTTTGGCAAAACTAATGAACTTTTCCTAATATCTGGCTAAAATGTGGAACATTTATACAAAGGAAATTGAATATTTCATTGATAATGTCATTTTTTTTAAATATTGAAGAAAGAGAAGATTGAGAGAGATATTTGGAGTTTCTTTTGGGGTTTTTACTGTTCAGTCCACCCCAGAATTCCTAGCTCCACCGTACAGGTGGGGTAGGAGCCATCTTGGAATTGATGCCAATTCACAGGCGGGTATGGGTGTTATAGATGGAGCTGTTTATAATTTTGAATTGTTGTAGGTCTGCAGTTTGAATCAGAATTCTGAGGTGGAGTGCAGTCTAAAAATCCTTTTTCTTTTTAATATTTCAAGATGCTTTTGTTTTGCCACTTGGGAAATGGCTAACTATTGGGGAAATTTCGCCAAGTTTCAGGGAAGTTGCTAACCATTGTTGGATGATCATCATAGATCTTAACTTTTTTTTTCCCCATATTAGTAAGCCTATTTCCAGTTTTCCACTGAAGCAAATGCTTGACAATCAGATGTCTTACTTTTCGAAAAGAATAGCTTTCTGTTATGTTTTTCTTTGACATGAAACAAATAAACAGGTGTGAGGCTGTAGACATCCTTCTGGAGATGGACCGGATCTTGCGCCCCGAAGGAGCAGTCATTATCCGGGACAATGTTGATGTCTTGAACAAAGTGAGGAAGATAGCAAATGGCATGAAATGGGACACCAAAATGGTGGATCATGAAGATGGGCCGCTTGTGCCTGAGAAGATACTGGTTGCTGTTAAACAGTACTGGGTTGGTGGTTCGGGCAACAGCACATCCCTTGACGAATAAACCACTTCCTGAGTTTGGGACTGTATTTTCTTTGAGGAATAGCTTCAATTGTTATGTTTAGAGATGTGTTAGCTTATATCAATTTATTAGTCTATGTACTTATAATTAATTGATCCCAAATCAGGGAAGCCCGACTGAAGGAGCTGGCTGGAGGAGCTGTAGTTTGTAATTTCTTGGTTTCTAAGCCTAAGCCCAACTTTGCAAGGCCGTCCCTTAATTAATGCTGGATTGTACCAGTCATAATTTATAAATTATAACACGGATATTTGTTTGCTCAAGATTCCTGATCTTCTTAAGGTTGTTTGTTTGTTTCTTTTTTTATCCCTTGCAAGGTTCAAAGTATCGTTATGTTGGCCAATACGTATCGGAAGCACCCTGATATGTCCCTACAGAGGGTATATCGGGGTTTTGACCGGTTCAGAGGGTGGAGGAATCTTAAACTGGCTCTTTTAACCGGAATTGAAAAAAAAAAAAGTAAAAAAAAATATCAATACTGTCTGATACGCCCCTACCGGTGTATCAGCCTGGTCGATATTTAGAACCTTGTTGTAAATACCATTTCAAGTCTCAACATAAGGTAATGGGGGATAAGTGATCAAACTTAATGGGGTTAATACGGAATAGGTAATCAGACAATCAAATAAGTATAAGAGACCCTATCTATTCAAGAATACCGAGTCTTTTTTTTTTTTGGTATTAGCCTTGATGTGTCCTATGAGTTACAAAAACGTGTTTATTTATTGGATATATAAAATTATAATTTAAGATGTCAAAATATCGCAATAATGTATGTGTGCATAACTCACCAAAATGCCAAATGTTGAGATTTAGGCTCAGTTTGGAAGGARTACAAATATATGCAAAACTTTACATGTAATTGTACAGTACATATTTGTATTTATACTCCTTCCAAACTGAGGCTCAGGAGAAAAGGACATATTCAACCGATGATACCCTTCATAGAGATGGCCTGGTTCAAATCTTCAACCGATGATACCAAATGTGTCAACAACTCATCACTTTGAAGTTTGAACCATTATTTATTCCTGATAACCTTGGGAAAATTTATAAAGCTTCCTAGTTGGCTAGAAGGGATCAAGTGTAGTTGCTTCATGGCAAGCAAAATGTTTTACTATGATACCATACAAGAACAAAATCCTTTATTTGTTTTTTTTTTCTTTGTAGTCAAAAGTAATGAATACAAGTTGTAAGAACAGAAATCCTGTTAATTGGACTAGGCAAAGACCCTTGATGATTCAACCTCAATAATCTTGGTATTTGGGTCGAATTCTGATATGCAATTAACAAATTGGAGTGGACTTGTTTCTACACACTAAAGGGTAATGGTTCTTTGAGGAATTGAGATTAGTTGAACGCAATAGCTATTCAGCGGGCTGTGGAACCAATGACCAAGTGGTCTAATGTTCTATCTCCATCACCCACWTTATAATTAATTAAATTTTGGTACAAGTTGTGGGTGGATCTGTATTTGTCCACGCTTCAAGCCTAATAGGTTTCATATAAGAGGGCATGTTAGAGAATAATAACCTATTCAAGGACCTTACCCAACAACTTAAGCTTTTAGAGAAGGCATATTAGAGAATAAAAACCCATTCAAGGACCTCACCCAACAGCTTAAGCTTTTAGGTCAAATGGTTCTTTGAAAATCCTATCAAGGTCATATTTATGCTTTTGCCTAATCCCAAAGGGCAGGAATGGGAAGGTGGCTATGATCAAATACATCATCCATTGGTGTTGATGGTCCTGGGCCCAGACCTGTAAGAAAACCTGTGGGATCAGGTTGGGCTGTACTCTTCAACCTGTGGTCTGGTTTCAGCTTAACTGTAAATACTAATGTGAACTAAACAGACAAAGCTTTAGCCAATCGGCTGACAGTCTCCTCAATATTTCAAAAGCTACAAGGAAAGTGGCAGATGAATGTGTAACACAGTAATCCAGTGCAAAGCCAAACAACAATTTGAAGAAGGAATCTAACAGGACAGATCCAACCCAATACGTCCTACTGTGCTTACATCCATTTGACAATTTTGGACAATTCGATTGGAGCTTGTCATTACACCATGTGTTCGATATTCAGAAGCTCAGGACACATCACGACTTCAAGCAATCTGGTTTGTGCATCATTGTACAGAGCTTTCAAAGACTTCCAATGGAAATAGTGTATTGTTTTCAGAACTTTCAAAGAGTTCTAATTGAACATTTCTCCATTTTCAGAAAAAAAAAGGATGACTGATTGATCTACCCATTATCCAAGAGGGGAAGCCCTATAAAATTGCAGTGTTTTGGGTCTTTCTTGTGCTCATGTGTCTCCAGACCTCAGCCTTTTCCTTTGTAAATCGTACACCCTTGTCTACTTACCAAATTCACTTGGAACTATTCCAACTTTTAACTTAGTCTGCATTTGTTATTTGCAGTTAAAATGTTTCTATAAACACATAAATTTTWACTGTAAAAAAGAGGTAAATCCTTGAAATAAGGAATGTCAAATGCAACCTTAGCCGCCCGGGCAAAGAAAATGAAAACTAGGACCATCAATTTAAAGCAAGGCCAATCCCCTCTGGAAAGAGTCTCCTCAGTTGTCAAGTGTACATGTACTGATAATGGAGACAACAGTGTGGCCCATATTCAAATGCACACCTTGTTTGCTATGGTAGTGGTCTTAGAAATTTGCAAACATGCATGGGCATTTGTAAGGGTGTCAATGAACCGGTCCAAAATATTTATTAGATTGGATTGTACCTGGTCCATCTGTAATAAATTTATATTGGATTAAGCCAATATCTGGTCCATTGATATAAGATAAGAATATAAGTATTAATGATTGGGTTTAGGTTGAAACCAATCTAAATAAAAATGAATTTGAATAGATTAAACGGTCCAGACATTGAATTGGACCGGTCCAAATTGATCCAAAACATTCATTGGATTGAATTGGACCTGATCCATTTATAATGACTCACATTAGACTGGATCGGATTGGACCAAATCCAGTCCAATTGACACCCCTAGATAAATAGATTATGATAACATGTAATGAGGCTATAATGCATATGTACAATAACAAGCCGAAGTAAAGTTGGGTTGACAAAAATCAACCCTGACCCTAACCTAATCGTCAAGACAACCCAACGGACGGTTGGTTCAAAATACATAGTTTGTAATTTTTCAAAGGGGGTTGGTTTACTTTGAAGTTGTCCTTATAAAGTTAAAATTGATAAAATGGGGTTCAAGCGTACACGTAGGGATAATAGAGGGAGGCAAAAGTATGGTCTATATTCAATGCACTATTCCTTTTGTTTGCTATGGTAGTCATCTCAGAAGATTCAAAACATGTATGTCCACTTGTTCCTGAAGCACCTTCAAAGTAGATAAAGCTCATGTTTTGTAAAGGACCATAGAGTGGTTTGCTTTGAAATTGTCCTTGTATGTTAAAATGGTAAATTGGGTTGGATAATCTTATGGGTTGAAAATTTAAGAAGCCATTATAATATATATATATATATATATATATATTATTTATAATATGATATTATATATGTATAGTTTTTTATTATATATTTATTAATAACACCAGTCATAGGTATAAATCGGGCCATCCTGCTCACGATTCGGTTGGACTTTGGATCGTCCCAACATGACGACATGCAGGTCGTGTTGTGGATAAGTATAAGTAAGGTTCTTATGGGGGATTGAAGTCCTTAACAAATTCTCAACTTGATCTGAACCAACTTGCACCATTGGAACCGCAAGCTATCCATGGTATGGCCAATGGGGATCATGTGCACCTTGCTCTGTTAACTAGACCTATTCAGGGGCTAGGTATCGCCTGGCCCGGCCCGACCCGCACCTTGATCGGGCTTGAACATGTAATTAGGCCCACGGGCCTGACCTCAGGCCCAAAACACCAAACCTGATTGTGTGTTGGGCCGGGCTCAGGATTTGTCAAAAAAGCCCAGCCTGGTTTGACTCATTTATATAATATAAAATATATACATTTTTATTTTTTTCTTTATAATCTCTCTCTYTCTCTCTATTCAGCTACTTCAGTAGAGGGATGAGCTATATACTTCGGGCTCAGGCCCAGGCCCGGGCTTTGGGCTTTTTATAAGGACTGGGCTTGGGCTCAAGTTGAAGGCCCAATGATCGGACTGGGCTTGGGCTTGGGCCCAGGCCCGAGCTTCGGGCTTTTTATGAGGGCCAGGCTCAGGCCCAAGTTGTAGGCCCGACAGTTGGACTGGGCTCGGGCCCAAGTTATARGCCCGATTGTCGAATTGGGCTCGGGCCTTAAATAAATCTATTAACATAGAGTGAAAGCCCGACCTAAGCCCAACCTGGCGTGGCCCATGAATAGGTCTACTGTCGACTCCACAACTGACTCCGCACATTCCAAGCAACATCTTCTCTACTGCAAGCAAATTCCAACCGTCCAACGGAAGTTAAACAGTAAATTAGAATTGATTGACATCTTTAATCAACCACTAATATATTGCTAGGTTGCTGGTTAGCGACTGCAGGACCACCATCATCTACTAGATAAAGACACTCAAAAGCCAAACAGTTCCTCTTTAGGGAGTAACACGTACATTGTGCTTGTGCACGTACCAAATGCCAATACCTCCATAAAAGATGGTTAATTGATTAGTACCTTCCTTAGTTGTTAAATTAGCCAAATGCATCCTACCCTATCTCTCATGCCTTATCCTTATTATTGGTGTGTGTGGCTGCAATGAGAGAATCCAATAGCTTTATCATTGACCTAAGTTAGTTTCTAATTAGTGATTTAAAAGGGAAAATTTATGATGCGGAAAAGATATGGTATGGAAAAAGCTTGATCTATCAAAATCCACCTATGAATTTTGATAAATACATTATCATGTTTATGATTCCAATTTATTGGTTTGTTATTTTTCGGATATCTTATCTTTTCCATATCATAGTTGAACCCGATTTCAAGGAGATGCAAATTTAATTTGATTCCTTATCACCCCTTCAAAATGATTGAATGCTTAGAAAATTACAAAGCCAATCCATCACAAGGGTAGGTATCCGCTTCATCAAACTGGTGAAAAATAGTATGGTTTTCAAAACCAGATTGGACTGGGCGGTCAGACCGAAAAAACTGGGAGCTGGTCACTTGACAGGTTCTGTTTTCCCCCAGAGCCGTTTTTTTCTTCAAAACCGTTGATTTTAGTCAACAAACCGCTGACCTGGACGATTAACCGTTCGAATGGTTTTGACTGTTTTTTAAATTCTTTTTTAATTTTTT